GTACCCGCCCGAGTACCTTATACGTACCTAAAAGTACTTTAAGGTACTTCAGTACCCGAAAGTTCCTGTGACATACTAGTAGCAGGGTACTTTTTCAGGTACCCTTAGCTCAGTACATTCACTAGGGATAAGGGTTGCCACATTTTTCGCTTTTTTAAACTTTTCAAGGTGGCAATCCTAAACTGATAACAAAAGATGCTTTTCCTATTGATTATACTAACACTTCACCAATATTTCAATTGTTTCTCCTCTTTCAGAAGGTCGAGATCCTTTATCCGTTGATGCTATTCTCGACAAATCATCTACACGAGAAACAACGAACAAAGAACTTAACAAAGAAAATTCTCAAAGTAGTATAACTCTGCTCGTTTCTAAACTATATAATATGTTTAACTTAAACGATTATTCAGGTATGAACGACTATGTACCATTATTCCATCCAAGAATGTCAAAAGCTCTTGATCTCTCTTTAAATATGGCTACATCGGAATTTGCTTTACAATCAGGGCGACAACCAACATCACAACAACTACAAGCAGCGGCAGCACTCAATTTTCTCCATGCCAAAAATTTTTTTGAACTCACTGTTGAAACTGCACGAATAAAAGAAAAACACTTGGAAACAGAAATAAGTATGTATAATTCCAACATAAAATGTGCATGCTCACCTAATTTTTTTTCTTTTTTTAGCCGAATTACGATCTGAACTATCGAAAGAACAAGAAAACCGAAAAAGGCTCGAGCATGACATTAATGATTTACGCAGAATTAGAGGCATTTTAATCAAAAAATTGAAACGTCAGAACAAAAATTCTACTAAACAGTTTTGTGAATCATCAAACAGTAATGGTAAAGTATCAGGTATGTAGTACGACTGACTTCTTGTTCTGTATATCAATCATTTCACGCAACTCAATTGAAACGTGATTCAGATATTTTTTTCGCTGTTTTCTTGTCTTCATATTTTACAAACAAAACGGACGCTCTGAGCTCGCAATTGTCATTTTGTAAAGAAAGTATATCTAGCAAAATGAGACGTCTTAGAGCTCTCTAATGACCTTGCTTATGGAGATATGACGAAAATATTCAACACTATTAAAAATTTCCCTTTTTTTAAACAATTTATGTTTTCGTTTTGTTAAGTTGTCTCCATAACTAAACATTCTAAAGAGTTCTGAGATATCTTATTTGCTAGGCATATTTCTTTACAGAATGACAATTGTGAGCTTCGGGCGTCCTTTTTGTTTGTAAGATATGAAGACAAGAAACCAGCCAAAAAAAATATCTGAATCACGTTTCCAGTCGAGTTACGTGGAATGATTAATATCTGATCAAGATAGAAAAATGTTTTTCAGAGTTACTCCCTACAAAAAAACAAGACTGACTAAAATTTGCATGAAAAATATCACAAATTTGCTCTCCTGTATAATTAACATGAAGAAGGTCGTGAAGTATTTAGCATGTTTTTCTCTTTCAGATAGCGAAATTAAAGTACAAATCGGTTAAGATTGATATGAAATCACGGACGAAAAAATACGATACAATTATTTCGAAAAATGAGCACTGCGATACAATGATACTTGGTCCGAAATTAATAGGATGATGTTAAAATCGTTGGCGAAAGAAAAAATTTGGAACAGAATATGTTTTATTTGCTTGTATTCTTTTTTCCATTTGTACATAGTTCGATATTCAAAACAGAATGTTTTTTTGAGATGAATCAGTCTGTAAATTTTTGCAATAAATAGACCATAGCACAATAACAATCCAATGTTCTATTTTCAACAGAACTGATGCAAAACCTTTTCTCTTGATCTCGATCTTTCGGGAATTTTCGAGAAAATCTATTTAAACGATGTTGAAAAAGCTTTATCTCGCTCAAGCTGAAACTCTGATGAACATGAATCAGCAACATACATATATGCCAGAAAACAGTAGCGCTCATTCGACGGCGCCATTGGTCAGTACAGATAGCCCACTGTTATCAATATTAAATTATGATAAGGTTAAAGAAAGGGGTTTTTCACTGAATTCTAATGTTAATCTAAACCTTTTTTCTGTGGTTTCTTGCGCATTTGTTTGACCACGTGAACAACTATTGTATGGTACTCGTGTACTGTAGTCTTACTTGTCATTGGTGTATAGTTGGTATTGTGGTAAAACAGAGAAGAAAAAAAATTAGCATCCGATTGCTACCTCTTGCAATTAAAGTTCTCAAGTAATATTCATCACAGATTATCGTATATCGATAGAAGAACAGTTCACAATGAAATTCATTAGATTATTATCGCTTTTGACAATTTTCGGTCTTCTATATTGTTCTTTGGGTACGTAGTTTTCTGTTATGTTGTCAAAGTTAGACAAGCGAAATACGAGCCGTAACGCAATCGCTTTCTTCTTGATCTAATGTAATGCTGATGTTTTTTTGTACCGATATGCACCATTTTTAGTGACGGGAATTGATGATGAAATCGACACGGATGTGGATATTGAAGACGAGCCAATAAAATCAGACGAGACCACAGAAACAATAACAGCAAGTGAAACCTTAGTATGAGTCGTTCGATACACATCTTTTCTTAACGAAATGTTACAATCTATTTTTTATTTTCAGCAAGACGAAGTTGAAGACAGTAATAGGATGCCAACATCACCTGATTTTCATACGATTCATGTGTTTATTCAACCACCTAAATCAGGTATAACAGACTGACTAGGAAAGCTATATTGCAGTGATAGTGTCAGTGAAACTGAACTTCTTTTCACCTTGACAACTGCTTCATTGTTTAGAATTAATTGCTGGCAAATTAACAAAAATGTTGATTGGTACACGAAATAATGGTTCGCAAAATTTCGTCGTTGAAAATGTTGAAGCATCATTTCGTTATCCTCAAGATTTTACCTACTATATACAAAATTTCTCAACAATTCGATACGAAAAAGTGTTAGAACCCGGTTATGAATCAACATTTGAATATACATTTGTTCCGAGTGAAACGTTCAATTCCCGACCAATGGATTTTGTTGTGTTACTTAATTATCGAAATAGTGTAAGTGTTTCTGTTTTTCAATCAGCTAAATTGAGGTGAAATAACTTGTTTAATGTATGCTGGTTTTTCTAGGAAGGAAAACGTTTTCAAAATGCAGTATTTAACAATACAATCAATTTCATTGAAGTTGATGAAGGATTCGATGGAGAAACGTATGTATTAAGGAAGTTGTTGAAAAAAAGAAAACTATAACTTTCATTATTTTTAATACTTCTAGATTCTTTTTATATGTATTTCTCGGTGGTATTTTATTATTATTAGCCGTGTTAGGCTATCAGTTTTTTGTATCGTGGCGTCCAAGACGTGGTGGAAGTAAACAAATATCAAATAACGCACAGACGACAAGTCAAACAAAAGGAAGTTATGATTTAGATTGGATACCAAAACATCACTTAGTACAAAGTAAGAGAACATTGTTAATAGAACATACTTTCGAGAAAGTAAAACTATTGGAGAAAGAAGTATCCGTCACTCTGTCCTCGAATAGGAAGGAGTTTGAAGGCTTATTTAGATATAGAGAAAACTGAATCATTTTTAATGGTGAAGAATTTCAACATTGATAATAAGACTAACACCACCTTATACATAGTGAAGTTACTGTTTCACTTGAGAGTGAAACAGTAACTTCACTATGTATAAGGTGGTGTTAGTCTTATTATAGAGAGAATATTTATACATCTGGTTCTCATCGAACTGAATTATGTCATATAGTATTAAAATATAATTGCACCAAAAGATCGGAAAGCCTTATCGAATATTCATTTATGTTCTTGTCGTTGGTTTATTAAAAAACTATTTTTTTCTACTACTAGATCGTTCTCCAAAAAAAAGTCCACGTCAACGTAAATCCCGACAATCGGCACAAACTGGAGCAACACTGTCGAGTGAAAATGAAGATTAGACAAAATTGTTTGTTAATTGGTGTTGGTTAAATATCACATAATCAAATATTATCATCATCGACTTTCATAATTTATAATTGCATCGTGTCACATATATACTCTTTTTACTATTATCATAGTCCTCCGTTCTTTGTTTTGTTACCCACCACATAGTTTAGAAGAAGTTGACCTGTTACACCTCTTCTTTTGATGTGGAAAGATACAGTGACGTTGGTTAGATCTTTCTCTATACTTGTTTTTTTTTAGTGTTGCAAATTGACCCTCGTTATTGTTGTTGTATGCTATTTTCTTCCTGTTTTTAAATTAATTTTTGTTGCTTGTTTAGAGGAAGAATGATTTATGCATTACAGTTTACACAAAAAAAGTTCGTCTGTAGGAAAAAAAATACGAAATACTCTAGTAACATGATAGAGAATGAAACCATGAACCGGTTTATTGTTATATATTTTTATTCGTTTGTCGTTTATTTTTTCTCGTTGTTTTTCTATTCCATAGTTGTATGATTGATGTTACTGTTATTAGAAGAAGAAAAGCAAAATCTATTTTAAACAACACTAAAGGGTTATAGTTACACTAAAGGCTTTTACAGAGGTTACTAACTTGACTAGATAATATAATACGTTTTCAATTATTATAGTCTCAGTCAATACAATTCTGAAAAGATTTGGTTCAGAATATAATTTTTCATAGTCATTCAAAAAAAAAGACGAGAGTTTTTTTTAGGAATGCTTGATATATTTCCACTATTGAACTCGAAAATTCTAATTCTTTTACTGTTCTGAACATTCCGCTCTTACACTAGCTGAAAAAGTTTCAAATCAAATGATGTGTTGATAAAGATTTCATAAAAATTATTGAAAATCAGATCTTTAGACGACAGCATAGCTTGGTATCTATATTATTCATCACATACTTCAAAGGTACAGTGTTCGAACCTCGGCGTCGTCAAATCGTGTAATAACTTTGTGCAAGTTACTTATATCTTAGTGCGTCAGATCGTTCGTTTGACAGTCTACTCATGTACAATACAGTTCCTCCAGTTAGTTCTCATAGCTTGGAAAAAACTAGTGCCTGTTTAGTGAATCTGTATCGAGACCATAAGCAATTGAGCGAAAGAACCTTGTGTCAGGCTAGCCTTTTGCACAGGGCTGTACGTGATGATTAGTGACTATGTGGGGGACCATACAATGAGTTTGTCAAGTGCAACGAAGATATCGGGCAGTGACGATTAAAAATTTTTCTTAGATACATTCGGTAGGTAAGGAAAATTGGAGACCCATGTGGTCGCCATAGAAATACAATTTTCTGAGGCAGTTCTGCTAAGAAAATGGCTTTTTTGCTCCAGAGGTACGTGTGGCCACTCGTACCGCTCGCTGGGTATGCACCGGTATCGGTCTTACTGACTTTTTTGGGTATATTATCATTTGAAATGAGATATTTTAGCGTCCTAGACACCCAGAAAGAATCAGGGACGCAAAACAAAAGCTTTGTTTGCTTTTTAAAACATATCATTTCAAATAAAAAAGTTCTAATTGGTATTTTCGGTATTCAGTATTAGAGACTGGCACGGGCCGGATTTTTGACCTAGCCCTACCCCAAGCTGGGTAGGGCTAGGCCAGAAAGCTTTTAAGGCCGGGTGGATCGGGCCGAGGACTTCTCTTGCTTTCCGAAAGCATATCGTTAAATGCATCAATAAAACCATTGTATTTAGTATAAACATGTTCGTGATGAATATTATAATATTTCTTTTTCTAATATGTACTGAATAAAGGTTATCTAGTGCATACAAAGATTGAAAAAAACCATGGAAATTTAAATGATAGAGTTGTGTTAGAAGCACATTTATAGCATTTTGTCAACCAAGTCTATTACCGTTAAAGATGTAAGAGACTGTAAACAACTGAAAAAAGCCGGACCGGACTCAGACCTCTACTTTTTGTCCTTAGCCATACACTTTTTAATACTGGTTGGTCCGGACTCGGACCTCAAGTATTCTTTGTCGGACCGGGTCGGATCAGAAATTTTCGGTCCGTGCCGATCTCTGTTTAGTATACCTACCGCTCGCCGGCTGGATCCGCCAACGATATCGGGCTGACAATTGTCGGTGACACATCGGTAACGGTCGCACCGCAAGACGTTCTTTCTTCTTCATCTAAAATAGTCAAACCCTACAAAATCAAATCCATGGACTCAACTGGTAACTTTCTGCAAACCGCTTAGTCCAATAAAACAAACCAGTAAAAAAAGTTGAATACGGTTTGCTAAAAAAACATCGTGGACCGCTTAGAACGCCTCATTTTATGCAGAAATGTTTGCTCTGTTTGACTGATCTGTTTATAAAAAGATACCAAGATACTAAAGATACAATGGACTTGATGGATTTGGCTTGCTAGGATTTTGATAGTCCAGAGATCTGTTTTTCAGCTATTTTGATAAGACTTTCTTACACAAGCCACCTAATTCGAAACTTTATTGACTGTCAAATCACTTTTCAGATGTCTTTTATCTGTCACAGTCGAGGAAAAATATCAAAAATAAAGATTGTTTGATAATTTTGCGATATCACTGTATATCCTAGGAAATGAAAAATGCAAAACATCTCCACAAAATACACTTTATTAAACAAAATTATTATTTATCAATTGTTTCTTAACAGAATACGGGTCTCTCTTTTTCAATGCTTCATCTATTACTTGTGAGAGAAGAGAGGCATTGATCCAGTTATAATGTTGTCTAGTTTCATTTCAGTGGGAGAAAATAGGTATAAGTTTCAAACAATACCGTCATTACTTTTGGTGCGTAGAATAAGATGAGTTTAGAAGTTTTCTTTCTATTATTTCGATACACAGAACCAGAAACTTCAATTAATGTGCATTGTCAACTATTAAAACACGTGAAAATATGTGCGATAAGATTTATATACACATCATACTTTGCTTCATCTTTCAGTTCGTTTTTAGGACGCTCTTTTCGTCGATCAGTTGAACGGATGATCCCATCGATAGCTCATGTATCGGTCAATTTACATCTACAACAACTTCTTGTGATGGAAGATAATAAATAGATAATAGTAAGATTTCTTTCATGCATCATGGATTTGTTTCATTGTTTTTCACTCACCTAGAATATATATACAACACTGGGATACTACTCCTCAAACAACAGCTAATGATATGATTCATATGATAGTGTATATAATTGCCTACATTGAACATCTATGTTCGCTCTTACAGAAAAGTATACAAACAAAAGCGGAAAATCTATTACAACAAGTTAAAATATCAAGCAAAGACGATGTATTTGGACGAGAACGCTTAGAAAATTTAAAATCTGTGGCAGATGAATTTGGAAAAGCAACATTAAAATTTGTTTTGAGACAAATATTCACAGTATGTATGAGTCATCAATTCACATTTATAGGATATTATTAAGTATAAAGGTAATTTTGTACGGCATGAACTCATGCAAGATGCACGACAACAACATATTTTCAGTTTGTTTGTATCTTTGCCTCCAAAAATGATCTAGATCTAAAAAGATAATAACTCTATAAAGTTGTTTTTATCGAACTAAACCAAAGAAATTTTGAGGAAGTGGAAGAATATATATAGTGGTAAAAACGTTTGTAGATTTCTAGGATTAGAAATCCTCGAAATCTACGAGTGCTTGTAAAATACGCTAACATCCACTAGCACCCCCGAATTAAAATCTGATACAGTCGCTAGACATAGTTCGTCGAGTTAATTATACTAACGTTGAATAATATTCACATGGATACTTAATAATGGCGACTAACATCTAAAAAGGCATCAGTGCCTCCCTAACGGTAGAATTCAGTATACATAAACGTAATCCAACGTTAAAAATCTAGTAGGATCTGGCTCGTGTCGTTTTTGAGTGTTAGCTACAATTATTAAGTATCCATCTGAATATTATTCAACGTTAGTATAATTAACCCGACGAGCTATATCTACACAATGGGCATCCAGGCGGAAATTAGGTGAAAAATCGAAGTTGCTCCTAATACAAATAGTGGAAAATGTAGCCCTTTCAAAGGGCTGTTGAATGGTATATAAATGTCTATTCTGAAAATGGTTCCTACGACGAGAAATCACGGTACACAAAACCGATTATCGATATCGTTACTACATACGAAATAAAGATTCTTTGCTTACTCAATTATGTTACGTGATTTCAAAGCAGATATTCAGAACCAGCACGTCTTCAGCTATCTATTGATAACAAAATATTTCTATTCCGGCACCAAATTCAATAAATAA